GTGTCTGCAATTCTTCATCAGAAAAGGCGCTGCAGACAACCGCTAGATCATCAGCAAAGAGCGTGAAAACCAGACCGGGAATGAGGGCTTCGAGTCTCTCAGCCAACGGGTCAATGTAACAGAGGAAGAGGGTTGGAGCCAGCACAGTCCCCTGGGGAACACCTTTCACGATGCTAAAGAATTTACCTAGTACCCCATTCACCTTGGCAGCCGCGCGGCGGCCATGCAGAAAGTGCAAGATCCAACGTTTCAAACGCCCCGAAATGGACTTCGCGCCAAGCTGGTTTCCCAGTATGGTCTTATCGACCTTGTCGAAAGCCTTCGATATATCCAGGAGTAGAAGCGCAGACTTCTTTCCTGCAACGCGTGCTTGGGCCAAAGCGTGTTGTACAGTTCCTATTTGCTCTTCTGCGGAGCGCCCCTTCTGGAATCCTGCTTGCGACGGGTGGATTGGACTGTCCAGCAGCGCCCGGTTGAGACGAACCAGTACCAGGGTTCGGGACGTGGATCCACGTGGAAATGGAAATCGTGGAAATGGAAATCGTTGGAAATTTCCACGGATTTCCACGTTCCACTGCCGCGCCGGTGAATTTATCAATTCCGCCAGTTGGGGTTTTTTGACGACTTGCCCGACTGTGGAGACACATTTTCAACCACCATTTTGACCTTCTGGGGCTCAACCCAAGGTTCACCTTTTTCTCGGTATCTGCAGGTTAGCCCTCGGAGAAAAAAAGAACGGAAGACAAAGAGTCCGGCCGCGGTACCGGGAACCCACAGGGTAGAATAACAGCGGAACATGGGTGATAGAAAAAGGTAGACTCGACATCATCAAAACGATGGTGGCCAACGGTGCCAAGCAGCACCCCCCAAGCAAGAAGAAGACGAGATGGGGTTGAGAGCGGAAATTGGAAAAGAAAATGGAATCATGATGGATTCGCTGAATTAGAATCAGAAAAGACTCCGGATACATTCGTCGTTCTCGCTGTCAGTGTCACTCTCCGGAATACCGGGAATATCCAACTGCAGCACCTCTGTGAGAGTTGTGCTTCTGGTTTCGGCAACGAGAGCCTCACTTGCTTCAAGGTCGACCTCGTTGAGGCCATCAAGTGTCTCATCCTGAGACTCAGTATCGAGGGAATCACAGGTAGGTCCCGGGCTCGGGATGGAAGGCTCATCAGTCGGGCCTGTTCGCAGCGCAGTTGCAAGCGTAGCCTGTGCTCGCTGTGTGCGCTTCTCGGCCCGCACCTCTTGGTTAGACTCTGGATAGAGCTCACTGTTCAGCAACCTATGGTTGATGGCAAGTGTGAGGGACGCGTTCACGTTCTCAACCGAGAGCTTTGCCCTCAGTTTTCCAATAACGGCAGACAGAGTTTTGAAGTGCCGCTCGACAGCGGCTTCGCTGGTCGTTGCTCTTCCCAGCGTTCTTGCAAACAGACTGAGAAACTCGCTCTCGTCACGCATGGCCAACTCATGATTGGTCCAGAAGTGTACATACCCGTGCTTGATCGGGTGTCCGTGCTGGTCTCGAGGCCTGTTCCGGAACTCACTGTACGCTGCCTTGGACTGCATTAGGAAAGATCCCAATGCCCGGCTGTCGGGTATTCTTCGGGCAATAAAAGGTGACAGATGCCGAGAGAGCAGCTTCCATCGCTTTGCTCTCACTGCACTTGTCACCTCGTCGGCCGTCTGATCGACGTTCGGATGCAGTAATTTTAGCACGTCGAGTGCTGGGAAAGAAAAGTTCCGTTTGACCCTGTAGGACCATTTCTCAATGGCTCTGTTGATTACGCTAAGTTCACTCGGGCACTGTGAGTAGCGAGCTTTGAGACGTGCCAGGTCCAACGCAATACCGTCGATAATCTCGTGGAGCTCGAGAAGACCGTTTCCGGAGTTCTTCTGTAGCTTGTCGGTTGCAATTGCGAAGGGGGCCAGGGCATGCAAAAAAAAGGAGAGCTGGCGGCGGAACGTTGCAGTAACGTCGGGAAGGTATGTGGAGTCCTTGTCATAGACACGCGCAATGCTCAGCGCAGTGTCGTAGACACTGTTCCAACGCACTGCAGTTGGATACCTGACGCCAACAGGGTTTCTTTCGCCGGCGTTGATCTGTTTTTGCCGCAAATCATACTTTTCCGAGGGCTTTCTGTACTTTGCTGCGAGCTGTATTACTGAGGTGCTAATTTCGTTCATGTATTCATGCTTAGCGATGTCGCCAATGCAGAGCTGCATGCTGTGGCATGCACATCGGAAAGCAAAAATTCCTTTTTTTTTGGCGGCATTCAATGCCACGCTCAGGAGCTCATCGACAGCTTTCTCGGCCTCCTCGGTAGCATCAACAGTTTCGCTGTCGTTGCTTTCAGCATCAGCGCCTCTTGCAGTCACATTGAACTTGCGGGCGACAGAACACAAGTCGGTCATGGCTTTTTGCATAGCCGAAGCGTTGTCCGCCACCATAGCAAACACGTTCAAGTTTGCTTTGGCGCGTAGGTGCTCGACCACCTCGTCGACTTCCCGTTCGATGCTGGCTGCTGTCATGCAACGCACCTCGGCGCTCTTCAGGAAGTAGGTCGCCTTCCCGTTGCTGACAGCAAACCCGAGGAAAAGTCGACCCCGGACTGTGGCACCGTCGAGTAACAGGAACACGTCGGCACCCGCGTTGTTCCGGTAGAACAGCTCTTCCGTGTCCTGTGCGAATTGCCCAATTTCATGGACCATCTCCTTCGTCCACAGCCGCTGCCGCGCCAACTCGACCGGGTTCAAGATGGAGCGGAAGAGGGCCGAGTCCATCACAGAGAACGGCAGGCACTGCTCGACGACAAAAAGGCCCACCCGTCTGACGAACGGGACAACACTCCAGCGAGAAGCCGAGCCAGACGGCGAATAGGCTGAGCCCGAGGCCGCAGTTGAGACTTTCGAGCGAGGAGAATCAGGCCCGTGTAAGGCCAGCCAATGCTTCTTGATGCTGGCTTTGGCAATCTCCTTTTGGCAAGCGTTGCACTTGACAACCTTGGCGCCGCTTGGCTTGCTGTACACCGGCCCGCATAAGTAGCCGATTCCGTCGCCACTGGCAATAGCGGGACTGTACTCAGTAGTGAACTCAACGACTGCCGGGAGCGGTTCTGGGCGGCGCAGGGCCGTTGACGGAGGAGGGGTCTGCGGGTCTGTCAGTGGTGGGGTTGGAGGAGGATGCGATGGTTCTGCAGTTCGGGTGCTCGTGTCGGTGTTTGCGGCTTGAGTCTCGGCCCTTGCCCCAGGCTCACTCCGAGCTGCAGCAGGCGGCTGTGGCTGGGCGAGCAGCTCGCGGATGCGCGAACGCAGTTTCGACGTCTTGTTTGCAAAGGATTCGGCAGTTTCGTTTACGAAGATGGCGAAGCTGTGGTTCTTCGCAAAGCACGCCCCGCACACGTCCATGCCACAGCTGTGTCCTCTGCCCTGAGGGCAGGAGAACCGTGGTCCTCTGGCTCTCCCACAGGCGTCGCACTCCCAGGAGGGCTCGTGCCCTCGCTGACTCAGCAGTTCCTCCTGTGTCAGCTGCTTCATCAGCTTACCGCATAGACACTTCATCGGGACTTCGTCGTCGGATTCCTCACTAGCCTCATCCACCGCCACTTTCCTCCTTTTCGTGCTCCGTTTGTTGTCGCTGTCGCGCTTGCGCGAGTTGCGGGCTCGCTCATGCTGGCTGGCACTCGTTTTCGTCATTTTATTACGGGTGCAACAGGAAATGTAGAAACCTTGTGTTGGAAATGCTCCGTGTGTAAAACTAACTCACAACCGAGAAAAAGGTGAACCATGGGTTTTGAGCCCCAGAAGGTCAAAATGGTGGTTGAAAATGTGTCTCCACAGTCGGGCAAGTCGTCAAAAAACCCCAACTGGCGGAATTGATAAATTCACCGGCGCGGCAGTGGAACGTGGAAATCCGTGGAAATTTCCAACGATTTCCATTTCCACGATTTCCATTTCCACGTGGATCCACGTCCCGAACCCTGCCAGTACCATCCTCTCTGCCAGTTTCGCAACGCAGCTTGTCAAAGCGATAGGGCGATAAGAGTCAACGTTCTCCGGTGTCTTACCAGGCTTAATCTGCATCAGAATGTGCGCCTCTTTCCAATTGGGAGGCACAATTCCCTTTGACCACGTGAGGTTTATCAGCCGCAACAAAACTTGCTTTGAGCGATCGCCAAGGTGGATGAGCATCAGGTTATTGACCCCATCAGGGCCAAGGCTGGTCGAAGGTTTGAGTTCAGCAATAGCCGCGTCAAGCTCCGACGGAAGGAATGAGAAGTCCAGTTGGTGAGTAGAGGAGTCAATCGGCAAAGTGTTCGTTTGCCCTGAGCATGTAGCTGCTAAGTGGCTGCCCATTTCTGATGCCTTTGCTCTGTCGTCATACTCAAATTGACCATTAATAAGGAGTGGTGGGATAACAGGGTCATTCTCCACATCATCAGCGGACTGCATTAGCCTGTGAAAGTCAGACATGGTGGAGGTTCGGGAAAGCGAGGCTGCCGTCCTGCTAATGTGATCAGACTTGGCTTGGTTGATGAGGCGATTTATCTTCTGCTGTGCGGCCTTGAGCTGGATTCTAACGTCATCAGGCGGTCTGTTACGATCAGCAAGGTCTGCGCGTAGACGATCCCTTTCTTCAATCGCAGTACGCACTTCGCTGGTGAACCAGGCATGACCACGTCTGGATGTCGAAGTCGGATTTACAGGGGTACACCTGGCTGAGTCGGTAGGACGAGGGACCAAATTACCTCTATGAGGTGAACAACGACGGTTCGAATCCCACCAGAGAGACTTTCCAGGCGTTCGGGGATAAGCTCCCGGGAGCAAGCCCTAGCTTCGATTCCTTGGAGGTAGGACCAAACAAACAACGGAGTAAACAGCGGGTACAATGAACCCCTGTACTACCTGCAGGATTAGGCCGTCTAGCCTCGCCTAGGCTGCAGTAAAAGTTCCGCCAGACAGAACAGAACAGAACAGAACAGATTTTTTTTTTTTTTGTCGGCTCAGTGGTCTAGTGGCATGATTCTCGCTCCGGGTGCGAGAGGTCCAGAGTTCGATTCTCTGCTGAGCCCATTTTCCGACATTATTTCGAGGTTTGCTGTCGTTTCGGGGCCTGATGTGCCCGAAATTTGCGTTTTTTGCGGAGTTTCTCAGCCCCCCGGAGAAATACCGGAGGGGGGGGCGGCGGGAAAAGGCTGCCCCAGGGCCAGTGTGAGACTTAGCTGGGGTAAACACCATTCTCACACTTTTTCAACAATTCTTACCATTCTCACACGGTTGCAACAAATGCTACCATTCTCACACAGTCGCAACAAATGCTACCATTCTCACACAGTCGCAACAAATGCTACCATTCTCACACAGTCCAAACAATTTCTTACCATTCTCACACAGTCGCAACAAATGCTACCATTCTCACACCAGGGCTGGTTAGCCACAACTTGCCACAATGTGGCCCATTGGGCCACAACTTTAGCCACAATGTTGTGGCTAAATTGTGGCTAAATGTGCAAATTTTTTGATCGAAAAAAAGACCACCCAAAACACGCTAAACACCGTTTTTCGGGTAGATTTTCGTGTTTTTTGGATGGTTTTGGGTATTCTGGGCCTCATACCCCCCCAACAGACCTCGAGTTCGCCTTTCGTGGATTCGAGTGGTTTTTGCCAACTTGCAGCCAAGTGCTGCCAGTTTCTGGGGTGACTCAGCCAGAATTCGCTATTATTTTGCGAAATCCGCGGCGTGTGGGGGTTTTCCCGGTTGGTACTGGACCCTTTCGACAATTTCAGGTGGATTCTGTGCGAATAAACGGGGGAAATGCTTGCCAGGCTCCCCGGTCCCGTGCGCTGCGCAACACGGGATGGGTATCTTCGTGTCACGTGCACGTTCCAAACATGGTTCATGCTACCGCGGTCCCGGTTTATTGCCACTGCCACTCCCAACAGCTCGAGAGTCGACTGGGACTCACCTTTCCTCTCAGCAGTCCTGATTCAGGCTGCGAAAGCTTGACATCCTTCAATTCATGCCACTGACATTCTGAATTGAAGTTGTTCCAGCCGCGGACCTGCATGCAACGACGTTCACTCATCCACTCATCCGCTTTTTCGTTCTTCTTCGTCACGGCTTAGTTCAGTGCGAATCGCACCGAGCCTGGTCACCAGGTTGGTGCTGCTCGGAGCCGCACCCGAGGGAGATGCAGAACAGGTTGTATCACAACCGGTGCGCATCAGCTCTGCATCGCCGTGCACTGCACGGTGTAGCACTGCCCAGGCGCGGCGAGACCAGTGACCGTCATCCTGCTCGGTGTTCAGGAGGAGGTGACCCGCTTGGCAGGCAGCACCGCTGCGCAGTGTACTCTTCCGTACTCTGCACCGTGCAAGCGCCAGTCATGTGCTTACCAGACTCTCGGTTTCGCGTTCTCATCATGGCATCAAATTTGACGGTGAAATCAGCCCCCAGCCTGAGTCCAGGATAGGTTGCTTGCAATGCAACAGTTGCAACAAGTAATCGATGAACGGAAACTTTTTACAGTAGCAAGGAACCGACAGCAAACTGGTGCACGGGTCGGTGCAAATCCTGTGCAACGGGTTTGCGGACATGATCGTGTCGCATTCGTAGTGAACTGTTGAAGTCATTATCCGCGATGACAGCCTACCCCGGGACTTGGACCGAGTCCTGCTGTCGAAAATACCACAGTGTTCAAAATCGCCGGCGATTGAATCGGTCTGGACAGCAGGCTGGTCGCCACACGGTTGCCACGTTTCTTTTTTTGAAGTGTACGGAGCCTGGGCCTTAGCCGGAAAACATGGGAACATGAATGTACCTGGCCATCCTTTAGCTCCGTTAGGTCGGGAGAGGAACGGTTTCCGGTGTGCCTTGTTGTCGGCTCCGGTTAGAAGTCCGGTTGGGGAGCTTCGTCACGTGTGGCCACCGTGTGGAACGAGGAGCCTGGCAAGGATTTCCCCCGTTTATTCGCACAGAATCCACCTGAAATTGTCGAAAGGGTCCAGTACCATCCGGGAAAACCCCCACAAGCCGCGGATTTCGCAAAATAATAGCGAATTCTGGCTGAGTCACCTGGCTGCTGCAAGTTGGCAAAAACCACTCGAATCCACGAGAAGCGAACTCGAGGTCTGTTGGGGGGGTATGAGGCCCAGAATACCCAAAACCATCCAAAAAACACGAAAATCCACACAAAAAACGGTGTTTAGCGTGTTTTGGGTGGTCTTTTTTCCGATCAAAATTTTTGCACATTTAGCCACAATTTAGCCACAACATTGTGGCTAAAGTTGTGGCTAAATGGGCCACAATGTGGCAAGTTGTGGCTAACCAGCCCTGTGTGAGTCACACAGTCCGAACAATTTCTTACCTTTCTCACACAGTCGCAACAAAATGCTACCATTCTCACACAGTCGCAACAAATGCTACCATTCTCACACAGTCGCGTGTACACACAAAATGATTAGAAAGCTACAGGGCAGTGTGAGGTTTAGCTACAAAAAGCTACAGCTAGCTACAGCGTAGCTTTTTGTAGCCTTTTGTAGCTCTTTTTTTGGGGGGGGGTTCCCAGCCCATTCAGGATACTTTTCGCCCCAATTTCTTCAGTTTCGAAGTTTTCTGGGCATATTTTGGCGTGTTTCCTGGCACCTGCTTTGCCCTGTGCACTGAGGCCTCACTGCCGGGCCCGCTGCAGCTTACCGAGCCTCAGTGAGGGTCGGTGAGGCTGCAACCACGCAGGCGGCGAGGGTGATGCAGCAGGGAAGCCTGGGGCGCCAGAGTCACGACGGTTCCATGAAGCGAAGCCAATCAGGACCCCAACAGCAGAGCGAAGAGCACTCGAGACGGAGCCCCGGGCTGGAGCTCTCATTGCACTCCAGAGCCCCGGGCTGAGTCAGGTATTTGGCCGGTACCACCACTTACCAACACTTGGGCAGATGCTGCAGTGTGGACTGCCGAAGCCACCGTTTAGACCAGTCACTCCCCATCCCCAAAGCCCCTCGGGGCCTCCTGGGGATTCGCCACAAGAAGAACGCACTCACCTGCCCTTTGGAAGATAGTGGAGACCATTATCAAAGACCGCCCCACGTTCCTCCATCGATGGACTCCTCAGTCCGGAGGCTTCCGGGTAGGGAGAGGCACAGAGAAGCAGCTCTACACCGCAATCAACCGGAAAAAAGGCCGATTCACATGCTGCTCGTCTTCGACCTGGCGCGCGCTTTCGACGGGCAGCACGCTCCCGACAGGCGGGACTCCCGGGAAGAGCACGCCGCTCAGCACGAATCAAAAACGCAGTCCGGCCACTAAAGCAGTAAAGTAGTGAGCGATCTACGACAAAACGTGGTCACGGAATCGTGTGAGCGGCCTGCAGATGCAGGTACTGGGTGGTCGTTCGGTAAGGTCACACTCGTCTGCCGAAACCCTTGTAGGCTTCAAATTGGAGTCAATGGCCGGCAGCTCGAAGAAAGTCTCCATTCCCACCTGAGTCATCACCTGTTCAAGACGGGCTAATTCCCATTCTCGAACACAATTTAACTTTTTGCCCATTCTCGAACACTCGCTAACTTTTTGCCCATTCTCGAACACTTTTTAACTTTTTGCCCATTCTCGAACAGTCGCCTAACTTTTTGCCCATTCTCGAACATTGAAATTTGCCCAGGGTGGGATTCGAACTCACCACCCATACATCCAAAAAATCCCAGCCATTTTTGGGTTCGCCATTTCCGATTCCGATTTCCGTCGGATCCGTTCCTCGAACAAGGTGCCAGCATTGTGGTTGGCTGCTGCGTCCCGGCTCGGTATCCTGGTTGCGCACTGGGTCATTGACACCGCAGACTACGGGTAAACGGTTTTCTAAACACAGATTCGTGCATAATTCAGGTATGCGCGAGTGACCAGCCCGTTCTACTTGTAGCGCTTCCTAATTCTGTGCCGAAACCTCTTCAGAATCAGAGCCACTGTTTTACCACGAGTAGTAACCAGCGACGGGCGCGACGTCACGAATGACTCCAGAGGAGGAGCGGGAGAGACTCAGAGCGGTAAGTAACGCCGCAGCCAATCAAGATTTGAGTGATGCCACTTCTACAGTAGAAGCTGCAAAGAAAAAGTGCCAGTCGTCTGAAAATAATCAGGAGCTGGCGGATGGTGACTGGATCTTGTCCTCCCTGCCGCAGGCTGGCAGGCTGAGAGAGAGACTGGAATTGCCGGCGAGCCGCCAGGGCGCATGGCAGGAGCCATTTCTCCTGCCATCATGCAGCCATGTGCCAAGTGTAACCGCCACTTCAACTCTGAAAAAAAAATGACCAAAAAAATTGGACCCCGAATTTTTGACCAAAAAATTTGACCCAAAAATTTTGTCCTAAATTTTTGACCCAAAATTTTTGACTGTCCTAAATTTTGACCCAAAAATTGACCGAAAATTTTTGACCCAAAATTTCGGTCAAATTTTTTGAATCACTTTGCTGCAAAGTTTGCAAGCTGCTTCTCCTGGTGTAGGTCAGTGAACTAAGGTCACTCAATGGCCGCCGCGCAATTTGCAAGCAAGACGAGCAAACTCAGTGAAGTCTGTGCCGGGTTTTTAAACGGGGTAGCTCGCACACCACCGTCACGTGTAGAAGAGCTTGAAGCAACCAAGAACCCGAGTGTAGATGCCGAAGAGGCTGCGGCCTGAAGTTAGCAAGGGTACCGTCTTCGAATCAGTGAACGCAGCTGTTCTCGCGGTGAAACTTGAGGCAAATGTCTCGGGGAAGTGACATTTTCACCACAAAAACTGGAATGTTCGAGAATGGGCAAAAAGTTAAATAGTGTTCGAGAATGGGCACAAAGTTACCGAGAATGGGCAAAAAGTTAAAAAGTGTTCGAGAATGGGCAAAAAGTTAGCGAGTGTTCGAGAATGGGCAAAAAGTTAAATAGTGTTCGAGAATGGGCACAAACATAAGGAAGTGTACTATAATGGGAATTGTCCCGTTCAAGACTGCTGGATCTGGCGAAACGCCGACTGAACCCGGAGGCCTTGCCGATCCTTACCGCACCCCAGACTCTGCAGACGTCGCCGCCACCGCGCTACGAACGCGTGGC